GTGTGTGTGTGTGTGTGTGTGTGTGTGTGTGTGTGTGTGTGTGTGCGTGTGTGTGTCTGAACAGAAGAATTTGCATTTTGAAGCCACAGAAAATAAACATGACAAAGCCATGGAAGTATAGATTCTGGATTCATACATGTTGGCAGCATGGAAAAACTAAACTAAACTAAACTAATCTAAACTAAACTAAACTAAACTAAACTAAACACTAATGATGTAGAAATTGTGAAAAAACTGTTAATAATGATAATATTAACATGTTTTTAATTGTTATTTTAGAGTGTATAAAAGCTATCTAATATATATATAAATATGTCGGAAAGCTGTGTGTGTTATGGATGTACCAACAGAAGAGAAAGAGGAAATATATCTCATTTCACAAGTAAGCAGATTTTTTCTTATTTTCCTCAATGTGGATGTGAACTGACCAGAACTGAAGTTAATAATATAATTAGGGGTGCAACAATACATTTACCCGTATCGGACCGTATCGAACAGAGCTTTAGGTTCAATACACACTTGTATCGAACAATACAGATTTTTAAAATTTACTTTATCAACTTGTCTTCTGAAGATGCTCTGTGTTRAAGGATCAGTGGATCTGTGTTCGACTACTCCACCTAGGCTGCATTTTTGAGCACAGATCCACTGAGAAACTTGCTGTTTCAGCAACATTTAATTAAAAAACTGTACTTTTGAGGTTAAACAAATGTTCATAATTAATTTAAATAAAATACAAGTTAAAAGGGGCGTGCAAATTTCTCTTTTTTGCATCGAAAAAATATCAAACCGCGAAACTAAATTATCGAACCGAACCGAATCGTGAATTTTCTGTATCGTTGCACCCCTAAATGTAATAGTTTTAACATGTTTCATCCTATAACTGGATATGGAGCAAATGTTTTTTAAGTGTCGACTGTAAATATTTCTTATTACTATTCATGACAAAAGAAATAATAAGTCATAATATTTTCACTAGATAAAAAGTTATTGACCGTCATATATTTTCTTGTATATATTGAGCTGTTTTACATGATTGTTAAATGAAGTAAATAATTATAATTTTTTGTAAAAATATTCTTGATAAATGTGACACAGTTGGGCTTGCTGGGAATCAAATAGTTGCTATGACGGCTTTGAGCCTACGCCCTGCATGGACGTCAACTTTGCTCCTCCGTGTAGCCAGCACAGACATTAACAGTAGACAGGATAGGCAGGGCTTCCTCTGGGGTTATTTAACTATGGTTGAAGCTAAAATTAATCGGCTTCAGAAGCTTTGGCCGTTAGTCAAACCATGGTGGAGCTCTTCATTTCACGATCATTTACCATTCAGCAAAGGATCTGTTTTCTTTTGCTTAATCAAGGATGAAAAGTTCAGACAGGATGTAGTGCATTGGAGCAGGCAAGGAAATCAGAWAACACATTTTTTTTGTATTTTGGTGCATTCCTCTATTTTTTAAATTAGTTTTGCCTCGCAGTGTTTGTTAGCCACTCAGGCTGTCCCTCCGGTTGTGACACGAGAACTGATCAGGGATGAAAATCAATACATGCCCAGTGCTGATGTCAAAACACAGATGGCAGGARTCCGTTTGCAGCCCTCTGAAAGAGCTGTTTTGTTTAATCTTCTCCTATGGACTGGTCTAGCCAAATGACTTCCAGGGGGATGTGTTGCGTCTGTTGGTATTGATCTCCATTAATTGCAGTGACAGTGAATAAATGAAATGAAACATAAGGCGACATGTGAGACTGAAAATGCCACTTATTTCTGCACACAATGCACAGGCACAAAAGTGGTAAGGACAAGACAGGCACATTAACACATATTCACACACACATATCTGTTTTTGTGCGAGCTGTCATCAGCAAGCGATCTTTCCGGTCGGCGGATGATTTGGCACCAGTGCACTCAGGTTTTCATAACCTTTGRATGCCTCCTGTCCTTGTCCTACGGAGAACTGAGGACAAAGCTCTGCCCTATTAGAGATGACTAATGAGCTTGTTGGCAAAAGAGACATTGCTAATGTTTTGTCCAAATATCTCAGATCTGTCCCCAATGATAATGTATTCAGTGCCAATGCCAAACAGGTTTATATTTGAAGACACAATTTCATCTRCAGATGTGACTAATAATATCTGCAGAGGGAACGGGGAGAAAATACCTTCCTCGCACACTGGGAGGGTGCACCACAATATAAGCCTGGGTTGTTTGACTGTAGTTGATGCTTTGCTTGTGTGGTGGCATATTTTTGTTTGTTTATGCTAATGGCTGTGAGGACCTGTTGGTCTATTAAGCAGGGAAATGGCAGCCAATGCTCSGGGGAGCAAGTCATTGATCTCTCTTCAGTGCCTCTTTCTTCACAGGTACTTGGGAGTGACTGAGCCAGGGCAAGACAAAAGAAAATATTACAAAACCAGAAGAATTAAAAACAAACAAACAAAAAAAAAAATCACAAAATTACTTGAGGTTTTCTGCATGTATAGCACACCATCCTACAGCTAATTTTTGTTTGTGTGGCCTCTACCAAAGCTGTCTGGTGTAAAATTGCACAGTCTGCTCTCCTCATATTGGGCTCCTGAGGCCTAATGCTGCCTAAACAGCACAGCTGCAATTCCCTTAAGCTGTGCACTATGCAATAACTTTAACACAGGAGCACACAGAGACAGAGGTGGGCTGTTATGAATGTGCTTCTCCACATTACCTAATAATCTCCAATGTTGCTGGGGTCGTTTGAACTTTTGAAGACTTTTCACGTTGTAGGCCAGTTTTGGAGTACGCAATCTCAAATATCAGGAATTTAATGTAATTTAGTTGACTGGTTTATCAATTTTTTAGCAATATTCTTATCAGTTATCCATTTGGAAATTTTCAGAAAAAAAGAGAGAGAGAGCCAGAGAAAGAGGGACAATCAATGTGTTTTTTGGAAGGTCAAGTTTTGTTGATCCAGAAAGGTTGGCATCACTGAAGTTGGCAAGGATTTTCCACTTAAAAATTTCAACATTCAACTTTTTTTTTTAAAACTGAAAGCACTCACAAAGCTTTTCCCCAGGGTAGATTATTGGTCTGTGGAAAATGAATAAATGAATTAAATGTAGAAAAAAATAAATAAAAAGAAATCATTGAACGAGAACACTCTCTTTTCACCATCAGCTTTCACGCCTGGTCCCACTGTATTTTTTTCTTTCTTTTTTTGAAATGTCAGTTCTTTAGGGCAACAGTTCTAATTTTTGTTCTGCTCAGAGTAAGTAAATAGTTCTRACTGTGAGTTTTTGTTCACCGATCCCAGGAGAGTGGCTTGCATGCTCAGCAAAGAGACCTCTCACTGCAACCTCCCTCTAACATATTGATCAGGAATGGCTATTGGCGCTAGCCCTGTGAATAAAATGCTGCTCTGCTGAGTTCAATTCCCCACTGGGCGACCGAATGAAGAGACAAAACCTTTTAGATTTTTTTCCCCCCTTTCTTCCCAAAATGTTATTTAGCTGCTAAGTTGAATGAAGCCTGTAGCAAGCACAGAGAAAGGACAAAAATTGAAATGTCACCGTTGTGGAGCACAACTTCTGAAATGTCTGTGTATCTGTTTTTCTGCCTGTCACTCACACATTTCAGCCTCTGCCACAGACCATGGAGCAATCACAATGAGATGCTTTATAAAACCAAAGGTAAATAGTGTTGTTTTCTGACTCTATGCTCAGAGTCATTTGTTGACATCAAAGAGCGGAGGAAGCAGCTTGACATGTGCATCTGGAGACATTTCCCTGCTGGAAGCAATAATCCCCCTGACATTTGAAATTACTGGAACATGAAAAAAAGACAATGTTTATACAGATTTAGGGTACAGAATGAGCAACGTTTTGTATCAGCATGATAAAAACAAGCATTTTCTTTTCTGTCTTTGTGACTTCTACTATTGTGTAATGAGGGAAAAATGCTTCTGCATAATTTCATCCTTCCAATTATGTTCATTTGAAAATATTCTGGTAAAAAGGATTGCTTTTGTAATCTGCAGTGATTCACATGATACATACGTACTAAGTCCATTCATCCTGTCTACTTACATGGGAACAGGCACTAACATTTTGGTCCACCATAACCTTTCGTCTTAATGTAATGTTGTGCTGTACTTCATTTCTTTTTTTTTTTCCCTGAGCCTCAGAATGACTTTAAGTAGGCAAGTGGTTTCCCATATATCATTTATTTATTTAGTAATTAATTTATTTGTGTATTAATCTATGAGCTATGTATTTAATATTAAATAATGCACAGTTCTCTTCATGAGATTTATGAGAAACTTCAGGCTTTCTCAGTGGTCCTTTGTTTTCTGTTTGGTTGGAATATAGGGCAGTACAGTTTGAGTGCTCTTGTCTGAGACAGTTTGTGTGCTGCTATTTCGTAACAGTTTTTTGCGGCAGCTGGGATTTAGGAGACCTTTCCTGGGCAACGTGTGAGCTCCCATCATCCCCTTCACTGGTGAGGAGACATAGGAAGGGTCTAGACAGTTATGGAGAAGTGAATGCTCAGAGGAAGAACGTTTGGGGGCAACCGAGCTGCCCAGGAGGCTGGGCTCAGTATCACTATCCGGAGTAGCACAGCCACTCTTGTCCTCTTGTAAGTCCTCTTGCTCCTCCTCCTCATCATCGTCACAGCACAACGCATGGTACAGGATTTTATCACTAAAGCGAACTCTTTCTCTTGTGCCAGAAGTACGGGAGGTCTTTTGGCTGTGCGTGGAGCTGCTGGCCTCCTCGCTGGATGAATCTGGCGTTATAATGCGTGGCCCATTAGGGATGGGAAGCCCGCCGTTCATCTGGGAGTAGACCGAGGCAGTGCTGGGAGGTGGTGTGGGGGTCTGGGTTTGAGTGGGGATGGTGTCATGGCCCAGCTCCTGTCGTAGATCCCCTGGTTGTTCACTACACCTGCGGGCACTTGCACCCGCAGCCTCCAGATAACTACAAAACTCCCAACTGTCTGAAAGCACATCTGTGTTGAGGAAGTCCAATCGGAAGGCTTCTCCCAGACCCCGTTCGCTGCTGGATGTGCTGCTGGCTGTGGCCACTGTCCAGTCATCTGGCTCCAGGTCAAAATCAAAGTCAGACGTTAATTTATCGATTTGACCCACCACCTGAAGAGTAGGGAAAACGCAAAGAAGAGAACAAAAATCTAATGAGACACTTCAGAGAAGAAAACAAGACAGCATGTAAAAAAAGACAATACTTTTAACCAGATTAAAAAAAGAAAAAAGTTTGAGGATAAAAAAAAATGTGTACCCTTTGTCAGCTGTACAGGTTTATGTTTAAGGACAAAATCAGTAAGATGTGGTCTTTATCATGTTCTAAAATGTTTCAAATTTAACCAGAAATGTGTAAAAACACACCAGTTCTGCCATGACAGTTGTTTAATAATGACATTTTGACATCACATAAATCTTATATACTCCAAACCTGCAAACTGACTGAACCTCTGTTTTCATAAAGAACATCACAGTTGCTGATAATGTCAAAAGTGCATCTCATCAGCAGCACTTGTTTTCTGTCCCCTTTCTAAGATTCTGTGGAAACAGCACAAGTGGACGTAACCTTTCTTACAAATTTCCCATTTTGCTTCAATATATCAAATCGGTTGTGTGTTTTCACAATTTCATAACATCATTCCTGTGACTGTAAGTTGGACAGCTGGACCACAACCAGACTTAAATATTGGAACAAGAACAACTAATAAAAACAGTTAACCATTTCTTTCAAACCGTTTCTGGCTTCCTAAAACCAAATCATAAAAAAAAATCTAATAACCATTGCTGGTCCTCAACGATAGCTATCCTGCATGTTATACTTTTTTCCTGCTCCAACATACCGGACTCAGTGATTGAATTACCTCTATAAGTTCTGCAGTAGACTGATAATCACCCATTCATTCAAATCAGGTGTGTTGGAGCAAAGGAAAAAGTAAGACCTGCAGTAGATTGGCTCTTGAAGACCTGGATTGTCCGCCCCTGGCTCACTGGTACTATAAAGTTAGTTTATAAAAGGAATGATTGGAATGAAACCATAGAACATGTCATTTTAGTATGCAGGGAATATGAACACAGAAGATGGATCATAGAAGAATTAAGAAAAATCAAAGAAACATTTAATATAATAAATATATTACAAAAAGAAACCAAAAGTAAAAGTAAACAAATTGTTTTAAGTTTTTTTTTTTAGAAAAACAAAATTAGAAAAAATAATATAAGCAACATAAAATAAAAGTATTTTGATCCACACTCCACATCAATAGGTGACGGTAATAAACACCTTCCATTGTTTGCCAACCACCATGAAACACCACACAAGAAGAAGAAGAATGACTGGAATGATTTTATATAGTACAATGTTGTGTGATAAGTTGCCTTCAGGCCCAGGCCTCCCATGCAAAAGACATCTGTGATCTCAGTGGGACTTGCCTGGTTAAATGAAGGTAAATAAAAAAATAATAGTTTTAAATGAAAAATGACATTTTAAAAAATTCTTGTATGGGCTCGTCTAAAAAACCATCCAGCAAAATCAAACAAATCAAAAGTGATAATTGTGAACTCTTTTTATCTAAATTTCCAAGACAATCTACTCAATCCTATGTTAAATGGCTTTTCTAAATGTTTTCATGCTTGGCATCTCTGATCTGCCTTCCCCCTGCTGGCAAGTTGAACAGAAAACTCAGGTTTATTCAAAGCTGCTAATAGATCTGTGTTTGCCTTTACAAGAGTTTTATCCGTAAATCCTAAATTGTTTGTTAATGTGTTTGGAATTGGTTTGATTTCCATCACGGCCTCCTGCAGACAGGTGTTTTAAATTGCCTCTATGCTACATCAACACAAAAYTAAATAGCCACCGAAATGAGGTTGTAACACTGAAAACGTGTCGTGACTCATCAAAGAGGATTGTGAGACAAAGAGAGACGAGAATAGAAAAAGCCTTTCAGCTGAAGGGAGAAAGCTGGGTATTTAACTCCAACAAGTTCTGCTTTTTCTCATTGAAGAACTGTATCTATCAGATTAAAAAAAGCAAACCTTAAAAACCATTAGTTGTAYTGCATGAACTCTTGACCCAGTGCTTTTTGATACTTGTACTTTGAGGTTTTTATTAGTTGCAGCTTTTTATTTCTGTACCCAAAATAAATAAACAGAAATGCTCAGCTGTTGCATAAAAAACATCACGTAAAAAAACATTTCATTTTTTTTCAAAGTTGACCTCAATGCTTCTGCCATCAGCAGCCATAGTTTTGAGTGCTTGATGAATAGTGTCCTTTAGTGTAAATTACCCTGGTTTGCTGACAACACCTAAAATCCGAGCCCTGTATACTTGACATTTTAGCTCCTTCAATCAGCATGTTCTGCTCTCAACAGTCTATTGTGAAAGGAAAGCACTCAGTACTCATGTAGCCTGTAAATGAGACATTTCCCCAAACTATTTAGTAATTAAACTTTAGACTTTTTCCCCCAACATGCTGATATGGGTTTTGCAACACAGCTGCAGGTGAACAGCAGTAAAAGTGTACTTACATCCCATTATTTGTGTAACACTATCACTGTCATATATACAGTATATATACTGTATATCAAAAAATTATGAACAGAATAAGCTTAATCCACTCAACAAAAAAATATCAAATTACTCACCACCAAAGAAAGGTGTTAGAATATTTCTGCGCACCAGAGGTCCTTGAATTGGCTCTTTGTTGTCTTTATTAACAGCAATGAAAGCAATGAAAGAACTGCTCACTCCTGATTGGACACTGAGCTCCACCACCTTCTTCTTCTTTTCATCGTCCTGCTGTCCTCTGTGTTGTCTCTCCTCTGACTCCAGGGATCGAATCACAGAGCGAGCAGCCAACCTGTGGACTGTTAATCTGCAGACAGGAGGATGAAAGCTCTACAGGTGGATATCAAACATTCTGATAAACACAAACTGAAACCTGTCTCCCATTCAATTTGTTAATGTTTATTTATTTTCTTAATTACTTCTATTGTAGTTTTTGACACTTGTGATGGAAACAAAACTGAACAAGAACTTTTTGGTAACCCAGTGGGGTCTCATGAGGCTATTTTGTGACGGGAAGCCAAGCCGTCCCAGGGTCCAAATTCATACGAACCTATCCGTACTGACCTCCAGGGGAGATCTGAATCGTCTGGACCTCAGAGTCCAGCACACGAGTCTTGGTCAATAATGTGACCTGTTGTCCCACCTTGGTAAAAGTGTGGTGCAGGACAGAAACAGTTTATCGCTCTGTTTCTCTCCTACCAACCTGCTTCATATCTTGGT